CGTTGGTAAAAGAGTAGCCCAAGAGTTGGCGGTGGGTGGTGATGACTAGCTGCCTTCCCTCTAGTCTTACACTGCTAAATTAGGGATGGCTAGCACAGATAGCCCTCGTGTAGCTTTGCGCAAAATTCAAAAACAAACAAACATATTTCCAGCTGTTAAGTGTTTGAAGTAATTGCTTTTCAATCATCTCAATTAGTAGCTAAGCTACTAGAAATATAGTCCTTATCACAACAATGCATTTTATCTGTTTGTTATAGTAAGTTAATTGGTTTAAGCTTTTGCTAAACCTGCCAAGATATACACTATATCTTATGCCCCTCAGTGGACCTACAATGCTAGAAACTGGGTTTCAGTACCCATGGTGGGCAGCTTGCAGATAGCCCATTGTGTAGCTTTGTGCTTAATTACAAACAAACAAACTATATTTTATTCTGTCTCAGCTGATAGGTTTGTTATGCTAGTTGGACACAAATGTGGTCTTTTATAATCAGTCATAAACACTATCCTATTATTTTTCAAAGTTGAACTTTCTATTGGGATAATTTTCATTCAGTAGTTCATGCTTACATGATTTTGTACCTTTACTGACTTAAACTTATTTAATTAATAAGTCTTTGAATATGTATAATCTGTACATTTTGTATGTAGTAAACAAGGCTGATTCAAAGAGGGTAAAAGGTAAAACTTAGAAATTTCCCTAAAGATTTCAAATTGTGCTCTACACAGATGTAACACAAAAAGCTTTGTTTGGAAGATTTTCTAGGAATGAAATTAGAAATGTATCATATACTATAGTGGATGATTTAGTAAGAGTCATCCAAACCTGGCCATTAAAATGTTAATAAAGATCTTAAATAAGTAAAAGTAAATTCAAAAAAATTTTAAAAACAACAAAAAACTGATGCTATCAAGTACAAAATATCATCATTTAAATAATCATCAACAGACCCCAGAATAAAAATGTGGAAAAAAAATGGTTCTCTATGGATATTTAGTTTCTGTTTCTAAATGAAAGAAACATTTTTAAAAATTGTTTTCAGTAATCTTCTTGAAAACCTAAAGTTGAGCCTGTTAAATAGCCATGTTATGACTTTTAAACAAAAAAGTTATGTGTATTTCCAGAAATTAGTTTTATTTGTTTGAGAGATCCAGTGTTTGTTGTATTAACCTGTGGTATTAACTAAGATTTATGAAAACTTCGGGTTTATTGTGATCTTTACCTGATCAGTGATGCTGGTGAAACACTGTGTTTAGGTGTTTTATTTATTTTCTTGTTCTAGTATATAAGTTATTTTTCAGATTCACTCAAAAAATATGTTGCTTTTGCAGTCTATTAAAATAGCTGATGAAGTAGGTCAAGAAGATGAGAATAGCTTTCTTAGTTATTTATTGACTCATATATGATGTTTTATTCACAGTCTTATTTTTTTTAAGGGTTTTACATCTTGTTAGACCCCAGAAACCATCATTTAAGTGGTCAACGAGCTGTTTTAATGTCTGAGCGTTTGTCTGTCAAGGAATCAATCTGCCTAGAATTTTGGTATGCCCTTCCTGATGTGGCTGATGGGGCAACTCTTCAAGTGTACCAGAGTGATGTTTATGAAACATCATATCTTGTTAGTTCTTGGAGAAACACCACTAATGACAAATGGCAGAAAGCTCAGATTACCATCACTCCTGGTGATCACAAGGAAGGAAAATATATTTGGGTTTGTTGAAATACAGTTATTTCCAATTCCATATATATATTTATAATTGTTAATTAGAAATATGGGTTCTGTTTACTTTTATTTCAAATGAAGATAATTTTTTAATTGTTTTAAGGACACAAACTTATAATGATATTAAATTGCTAGAGCTTTTGATTTATATTGTTAGTTAACATTATTCAGTACGTTATTATTCTTAAATCAAGAAGCTTATGAACTGTCATGTAGATGAACTTGATTTTAACATAGGTGTACATTGTTGGAACGCTTGGAAGTGATCACACAGGTTATGCTGCTGTTGACGACATTAGAGTGATACCAGATGCTTGTGAACGTAAGTAGCATTTTATACTCAACTTTAACAGAGATTATCAGTAACTATAAATTAATTGATATATAAATAGTGTTGGAAATAATTATGAAAACAGTGAATAAAATTGGTTTAAAAGGCAAATATCGGATTACATCCCTCTGTTATTGGAAAATGAACAGCACCAGAGTACACTTACATGTTGACAATCACCCAACCAGTTAGACTGTGCCACAACAGCATAATGTATATAAAATGGACTTTCAAATGAATAATTCACTTCTCTTAGCCCTTTCCCAAGAGGAATCCTCCATTCACTCTTCTCTTCTTCTTCAGGTAGTTGCTTTCTTATGCCCACCCAGTATCTTGTATGTCTGGGCATTTTCTTGAACTCTCTTCTCAGACTTCTCCTCTTTACTTATGAACTATGGAGTGATTAGTCACTAAGATTCATACTTTTCCTTCTCATCCTGCACAAGAGGTTCTTCTTTTTTTGGAGACTCTGACTTCCCTAGGACCACTCATTCCTTTAGGTTGTGCACACATGCTCCTCCTCCGTTGGACATTGCAGGACCAGTGGAATCTTTCACAGAATCCATTGTCATCGACTTTCTATCTGTCCCTTCCTTTACTCAAGGAATTGCCTTGGTGGCTGAACTATCCCGACACTACCTCATGAGTTCCTTTGTCTTCCCAGACCAGACCTTCACCTTTTCACCAGTGCTTCTCTGTCAGGTTGGGGAGCATCTCTGAAGGACAACATGACATCTGGCTTTTGGACATAAGATGAGTGCTCACTTCACGTTAACAGGTTCAAACCACTTGACATCTGTCGAGCATGCTCCCATAACCTCATGAATTGTTTGTTCATGATCCATTTAGACAATTACATGATTGTGTCATATCAACTGTCAAGGGGTACACATTCTAGGGTTTTATGTTTTCATACCTGGGACCCTCATTTTGGGGCTCATTCTTATCATATTTGTCTGATTTCCTGTTATGTGTTGTGAACTTTGTTTAAGATCACTTCTCTCAACTGGACTGCATTCTCCTTAGAGAATGGTCTCTCCTTCCATAGGTTTTTCATTGGATTTTCTCTCAATTGGGCACACCCCTCATAGACGTCTTTGTCACCCCTCTCAACTCAAAGCTTCCTCTCTCTTGGTCTCTGGTCCATCATCTGGCTGTGGCTTTCAATACATTTAGTTAGGACTGGTCTCACGTTTTTCTATCTTATCTTCTTATCCCCCTTCGGGTCCTAACTTTGATTCATGATACCACTTGCCAGATCCTCTTGGAGGTGTCTCTTTGGCCAGCTCAGTCTTGGTTTTTTCTGCTTCTTTACTTGGGAGCCAGACACCTAAATTTTTGCCAAGTATCCCCTCTCTCTTGTTTAAATTTTACATTTAACTGTTTCATCAAAGGATATTGTCCTCCATCTTCATGTATGAGATTTGTCCAGTCTATCGTTTATTGAGCTCAACTCTCTGATTATGCAGCCTTTCTCTCATCTCATTTCTGTTGCCATTCCACTTTGTCATTATATTATTGTAAGTGGCACGTCTGTTGTCACTGGTCCATCTGCCATTCTTTTCCTCCTGGTTGGCCTATTATACACCATCTTTCTACCTTCTTTAACTGTTAATTTGACCATGGTTTGTCAGTCACTACTACTGGTGGTTTTGAGGTGGCACAGGATGTTTTCACCCCGATCCTCTCCACTTTATTGTGATCCTTCCTTCTCCACTGGCTTCCTTGCTCAAATTTTATGCCAGACTGGGACCTCAGTGTTGTTTTGTATTCTCTCACACATGACCCATTTAAGCCATTGGCTTCTTGCTCTTTGTGCCACATATATCTTAAAACTTATTTCCTTCTCCTTTTTGCTTGTGGCCACCATCATTGAGATACCTATGTGACTGATTCTTCTCGTACTCTTTTTCCATCGTACTTATATACTCCCCTATCCAGACTGGTCTTTCCTTCCTGAGACGTTAGCTGCTTGGGAAGGTGACTACACTTTCTCTCTTATCTCCTTTCCTTCTATCTTTCACCTTTATGTTCATTCAGCCCTGGCTACTATGTCCTTTTCAGGCTGTTAGATGTTATTTATCATGTACTTTCCCCCTTTGGGGTCATTGTTTCTGCCTATTCTAGGACCCTTCTCCTTCTACCCTTACTGGGTGAGTCCATCAACTTCTCTGACTGGTCTATGCATCATTGGATATGGATGTTTGTAGGCTATTGTATATTTCTTCACATCAAATTCATCACCTTACTCATTCTCTTGCAGGCAGGCACATGCACAATGCCCAACACTTTCATCACTCATTATTTTCACCATATGGCTGTTTCATCTCCTGAGGGTTTTTGTCTGATCTCCATTATTCAATTAACTCACCGTCTCTAGATGGGTATATAAAATTTCCTTTTCAGAGCCTCTTTTTAATTTCGTAGGATCCAACCAGCTGGCTGGTGTTGCCTCCCAGGGTATACTTACCCAAAATTTGCATCGAGCCAGGATAATGGATCATACCATTTTTCCTGGCTCAACCACTGCTCACTGTTGAGATGGGGTTCTGCAAGACCACTTGAGGTATCAATGTGGTATGTATATGTGTGTGTGTGTGTATATATATATATAAAATGATAAAGCTTGTGGTAATAGCACCCAAAAGATGTTGAGGATATCCAATCTATCAAGCAAAATACAAAATTCTGAAGTTAAATAGTTTAGATCTTAATTCATTTAACTATACATTACAATGTATTGATGATTTAATTTTCATAAATAATTTAAACTTTGCCCCAAATATAATATATCCTAAGGAATTGACTGTAGAAAAAAGCAATAGTAATAATTCTAACACTAATTATTTAGACATAGACATTTAATTTGTAGAAGGCAGAGTTCAGTTGATCATTTTGGATAAAAGAAGGAAATTAAATTTTTCCATCCTTGGTTTACCTACACCCCATAGTTTTATTCCTAATGTTTCATTAAAAGGGATTATTATAATTATAGTATTTTGGCACTTGTGTATAAAGTTAAAGTCATAAATAATATTCAACGTTAATTATTATATCACAACTGAAAATATTTTTAATGGTATGCAATAGTAATATCTTTTTAATGGATAATGTTTCCTTATTCATAGATAAACTAAAACATAATGGATATAAAGATACACAACTAAAAATATTTTTTCTATTTTTAATAATAAATATAAATCTGTTTTAAATAATAAACTTTAACTTATGTAAAACTCCTTACTGAGAGGTCGTTAGTTATTCATAAACTAACTTAGTTATAAAACCAGTTTCATATTCAGTATACTGGGACTAGAAAGACCAACTTCAAGTAGCTGGGCTTGCCTCAGCTTTTCTGTGTCATACTTGAATAA